TCCGTCATTCAGTCCGAACTTGACACCAAGCGATTATCATATTTTTCTTGCATTGCAAGATTTCTTTTATGATAAAAAATGGGTCTCTAGGGATGATTGTGAAAATCGACTACAAGAGTTTTTTTTTTTGCAAATAGAGAGCAGTACTTATATGAGAGAGGCATTATGAAGTTACCTTTAAAATGGCAACAAATCATACAACAAAACTGTGCCCAAATCGGACATTCCGAAGCATGATAAATAAAGTCCTATAGTTCATAAAAAATTATGGATTTCTTTACCCCAACCTAATATTTTGGGGCCATGTATTTGAATTGTATTACAAGGAAAGTAATTGTAAAGCCCAAAAAGTAATTAATTGGTTTGTATGAATAAAGCATTGCTTGAAAACTCACAAACACACACACATTACTCACAAACACACACACCTTTTCCAGCAATGTGTGTGTGTTTTTTGAGTATAATTGTGAATCGAATTACTACTAGTTCGTTACCATAAAATAGCCAATTAGTTAATAACAACATGTTCGGCGACTTGGACTTGAAACCTTTTATTGTGATTCTGAAATTGTTCGGCTTATTCAGTATTAATTTCGCCGATTCTAATAAAGGCGCTTACTTTCGCAGCAGAACATTTTACAATAAAGTGCACTCGTTCGTTTCCCTAATACTTCTTCAGGCATTATGTGCGTTTCTTTTTCTATACTGGCTACTATTTCAGAGTGAATTCGATATTGAGTTTTATAATTCAACGGGAAATATTTATTTAAATATTAATTATGCATTGGCTTGTGTGCTAGTTTCCATAATTTACTTTTACTTCATTCCGAGTCAAATGTGTTTCCAGCAAACAATTGAGACAGTTTTAAGGTACCAAGAAGATTTCTCACAGTATCACTGCAACGGCTGGAATCTACGGCACTGGTTCTGGGTGTATATATTACTATCCACTACCGAGCTATGGAATAATCACCAAGCGTTTACGTACTCAAAGGTGGGCACTATAGTCAGTATATGCTATCAGTTAATATGCAATCTGGTGTTTTTATTTTGTGGCATAGTAGTCCTTGTGTATGTTGCCATAATAAAAATTATCAAATGCTGCCTACAACATATAAATAATGAAATCGGCGAACTGTTAGCCCGAGAACAATCCCAAGTAAAAATATTTAACTTGACTGAATTAATGTTGAATCGTAAAAAATTATTAGGCTTTTGTGAAAAGGAATTGAGCGAACGATTTGGCCCGATATTATTGTTGATTGTCGCATTTATGATATTTTCGACACCGTCGGGACCGTTTTATCTTATATCGGTAACAATGGAATTAACCTTTGAAAATAATTGGATATTCGCTTTGAACGTTATTGTAATAATTTACTGGAGTGTACCTTGGATAATATTATATATTGCAATCATGTCATGTACAGTCGATGAGCAGGTGAATAAAACATATCAAATACTCAAAGAAGAATGCAATTTATGTTGAATATATTTAAGCAATTATTTTAATTAGTAATTAGCTTTACTTTATTTCATAAGATGAACTCATTTAAAAAAATCTATATATATTTTTTAGGCAAATAAAACTGCAAAGATTTTGGCCAGATATTCCAGAAGTAATACAGGCGCTGATAAAATGGTAAGTAAAACATGAATATTAAAAAGGTGTACTCTTAAGATAAATAATTTTCAAATTTGTCCGACCAGTCAATGGATAGGTGGGTGTCATGTCCGACACAATTACACTTAAACCAGTTGAGGCCTGTTGTGCGCTCTAGAGATGAAAAGAAAGTTAGAATTAGGGAAGCCTTGGGTTTGATCTCCCTATGATTCTAGGAATTCTATGTTTTTAGAGAAGTCCTTCAGTCTTCCCCATTTGCACCCCTCAGTTCGGTTAGTCCGGGAATAGTGTCATATCAAAGAATTGTTTTAAAATGCCTGTAAAAGCTGGCAGAAATGTTCTAGCATTTCACTGTTTCCAAACGCTCTGGAACTGCTGCTACCCTCGCATCCAATCTTGTGTATATTTGGTGAAACAAAGGTATAAAACAAACTAGCATTTGTGTGGCGTTTTGTGGCCAAATAATTCTTCTATCTACAGCAAAAAAAATTGAAGTAACGAATAAACCGAAAAAAATCTTGTTGTCTTCTTGATGTGCCTTCAGACCGAGATGTCCCATAAGAATATCCATCAGTCTGTTTATTTCTTTTTTGTCTAACATTAGGATTGAATTAGTTTTGTCTACTGTTAGATTATCACAAAAAATTTTTGTGATCCTTTTTTACTTTAACGCTTGCAACCTTTAAAAAAATATCAGCTGTAATGCCAAGTTCACCAAAGAGAAGCAGCTTAAGAATTGTCAAAAAGGGGTTTTGTGCCCCTTTTGACAACTGAATACATACTTATTCTACGAAGCCTATGTTTTGTCTCACCTTGGATATAACGAACTTCTTCTATAATGATCTAATTTGTTTGCTCCCTACTAGTTCGCTATAACCGTACTCGACTGTACAAACAAAAAAGTAAATAAACAATTACATTGATATTACAAACAGATTACAATAATCAAGTAAAGTAATTCAATTAATTGAATTGTTATTGTCAGGCAGATATTTTCTTCGATTACCAATGACATTAGTCAACTACCGAAAACGAAACAACAAAGACCAGTGCTGCCTAAAATTAGTTTTCTGTCGACCAACCAAGTGGTTTAATATAACCCAACCCATGGACAATCTGTTGAATTTTCTATTTAAATTTGTGCGTTTACTGGGCATTATGCCGGCAGTCTACCACAAAAACGAAAGGAAACTTGTCGGGACCAAGCATTACGTCAATTATATGTTCCGTGTGACCGTCCTGGTGATAATACTGAGCGAACTTCTTGTCATTTTCGTCTGTATATCGGCCATCAATAACTATTTTGATTTTTACCAAGGCAGTAAAACGAGTAGTGGCCTGACAATACTGCAGCTATTGCAGAGCGGTATAAATCAAATGAGCCTCAATGCAATATTCTATATCTTTCGCATTGAAAATGTAGATACATTTAACAATATCCTAACCATCTATAGGAACAATTTCCCCCAAAACTATGGCAAAAAACGATACGCAGAAAGTATGATTACATTCGTGTGTTCGATGTATCTGGTATTGGTGTTGGTATTTCTTTTGAATGTGATGGTGTCCACTATCTATATGCAAATTATGTCCTGGGACATGATCGTGTGTAATATTTTGCTAACGTGTACAAACTTTATATACTCGTCCATTTATCTATGCTGTCTGACGTGTTTGATACTAATGTTAAATAGACTCTTGATGTCTTATAACAAAAAATTGAAAATCAAATTGAAAATGAGACATTCATCAAATGATATTATCGAGATTTTGAAAGAGCGCAACAATTTATTGGTTTTGTGTACGGGGAAGCTTAACCTGCAATATGGCCTAGCAATGCTTATACAATCGCTATACATACTGATATGTATTTCGTCGTTTCTATTTATTAGCACCGTCACAATCAATGTTAAATATATTGACTTGGGTCCTTTGATATTTATGGTATTGGCACCCATGGCATTATATTCATTTCCACCAATTATTATCTACAGTAATGTATTATGGGTGAATAACATAGACCAAGAGGTAATTTTTATGTAAATTGTTATAGATCTTTCATGTGAAATTGTAAGTGGATATCGAAAACATGCAAACACGCGATTTTACACAATGCACAGCTGTGGTAACAGACGTTGGCAAAGTAAGACTCGGATCGTAGACTATCCGAGTTCTATAAAACGTATTATAGACTTTGTGAAATGTAATTATTTATAACCGGCTAAGAGGACAGTCGTAATTTTTACAAGTAAAAAAGCACGTATATAATTTTATTTGATTAATCTCAGCACGTGAACGACAAGCGTTGGCGACAAACATTTACCATATGCTTTACTTCAACAATTAACACATGTTTCTAATATTTGATTTTTCATATCGTCATCTACAGGCTAATAAAACTGCAAGTCTTTTATCAAAAGCCTATTTAGAAGACAACCGTGTTAATAAAATTGTAAGTTATATTTCATGCACATTTACTGCCATTAATATCTCCATAGAAATAAAACTTTGCAGCATTTTTTGTTAAAAAATAAAAAATTTTAAACTAACAACCTGTTTCGTTCATTTCGAATTTTACATAATTAAACAAACGAATTCAAGTGAATTCCATTAAAACTCGTTCTTTTTGGAAAAAAATATTATTCGCCTCAAAAGTTAAATACATGAATTTCTAAGAATGTTATTCAAATACGCATTGCGTATAAAAATATAAAGTTGAAAACTTATTTCTACCGGGTCAACGGGTGGTGTATGTTTGGATATTTTTACGAAATGATTACTAGGCAAGGATAAGTCTACATTTTTAACTTTGTCACTATCGGAATCAAAATATATTCGATTCTGAAAATTAACCCCATTTCAATTTGATTAATTATGTTACGTTTTACAGAAACTCGCTGTTGTTAGATAAAATGATTAATCTATTTTCTCTTGACAAATACTTTTTCCATATTGAAAAATCACAACTTCATTATTAAAATTAAACTACCAATTTATTAAATATTCCTATTTCATTATAATTATATATTATTTGTTATTCAATTACAGATTGATAAATTTCTACTGAAAAATCTTCGGCATAAACCTATTCTAACAGCATATGGTTTCTTTTCATTGGATAAGAGCACACTCTTCAAGGTACTTCCCCAAGAATAAATAAAAATAAACACACAATTCTCTAATTACAAATCTTTGTTTCAGCTATTTACTACAGTGTTCACATATATGGTTGTGTTGGTGCAATTTAAAGAGCTTGAAAGCAGTACCAAAGGCCTCCATCAGAATGCCAGTTAATAAATTTAAATCATTTACAATGTCAATACAAATGTATTTTGTTTGATTTGTATTCGTTATATTTATAGTTAAAATTACTTACAACATCGTACATAAGACATCCCGTAACCTTGGACTTGTAATTTCTTCTCCATTTTCTGTACTCGGCTTTTATAACAGCTAATTGGCGTTTCCAATACTTTCCCTCAAGTACGACACTCTGCAAAGAAAAATTAAAATTTTGTTAAAATAAAAATTATTTTGCAAAAAATACTACATTGAGACAGTATTAATTTGGGTTATGATACAAGTAAAAAAGGATTTAAAACGGATAGAATTTCTCTATATTGTAATTATAGTATTTCAATAATTATAGCGAACTTATAGGAATCAAGTAAATTTGTTCGCTATAGAGGAAGTCGTTCGTAAAACTTAAACAAGTAAAAGTAAAAACAGTATAAAAACTGTAATTTTTTGGTAAATATTCTCAACCTTGCGTAAAAATGAACAATTATGAGGATTGTCATGGTTATGTATTAATCAAGTTCGTTATAACCAAATTTAAATTAATTAAAACTCATAGCTGGGAACGAAAAAACAGTTCTTTATAAAAAATTCACTTTATGAAAAATATAAACGTATTCGACTGTGTCTATAGGGATGCTGAATGGGCGTTTAATATTGACATGCCTCTGAACAAGTCTACGCGTTTATGCCTTTGACCATAATATCTATATGTATCAAATTAATCAAACAAAGTTGTGAACAAATTGCTATAAGTCTAACAACTAATTAATAATATTACGAGTTCAGAATGTGTATTCGCCTAATGTTGAAAATACAATTGATATTTAAAAATGATACCTGTATAGCGCAATAAATATTCAAAGGATCAGACAATATCTTAACGACCAATTTCATGGATTTATTCTGATATCAGAAATATTTATATTTGAGAACTAATTTGTATTTTTGCTAGACGCTCATCGACGTAATGGTGTTTTGCAAAATATGATGAACTCATCTGATTTATATTGAATACGCAATCTATTGGTTTTTGAGGTAAGACGTAGTAAGTAGACTGTATCTGATAATTATTGGATAACAAACCAATATGGCGAAAATCATCAGAAAAATTAATATTTTGTTATTAACACTGAAAGGAAGATTGAAAGAAATGAGGTCACCACAATGAATGATTTTAGTCAATACATGTAAAACATATATATATATATAGGCAATATTGGCAATTTTTTAACATAGCTGAAGCCGAGGTTCACTCCTTTATTACTCCGAACATACAAAAACATATATTTTCAAATCGAATAACATTTTTAATAATTAAAGTTTTATATGTATTACTAGCAAAGTGCCCGCTACTTCGTATGCGGAAAGGGAATACAAAAAATATTTCATATGGTATCGTAAATACTGTAAATTTGTAGTACTATAGTTTGCGATGCTTATGTGTATGAAGAGTACTAACTTCATACACATAAGCACTATTTTCCTAAATCTCTCTTACTTCCATTAAACAGATTAAAACCAGTAAGGAAAGTGGTAAAGTACCCCATGCAAAATTTCGTGCAAGTCGAAAGATATAGGGACTTTGGTACACCATTTAATATTGGCAATTTTTTAACATAGCTGAGGTTCACTCCTTTATTACTCCGAAATTATTAATGTACATGAGAAAAATTGATTAGTTTTGGATTTATTGATCTGTCGTTTGACTTCCAAAGTTTATTATTGTATGGAACATACCAAAAAGTGGACCTATACTGGCAATTCTACAAACCGATTTATGTATACAAAAACACCAAAACAAATTTCAGCAAATATTTAATGGGGATTTTTCCTAAAAACCCCAAATAGTGGACCGATATTTACGACGTATGGTAGGGTGGGTACAGTTATTGAGGTCATCACCAACGTACACAGGTTTTTTTTCGGGGGGTTGGGTGGAAGGTGCTGGTTCAATATGAAAATAGTCAATGCAGAAAAAAATCTGGAGGCTATACCTAAAGCGGGATCAATATTAATTACATCGAGTTATCATTATATGAGGTGCTATGCCTAATTGACAACTGATGTAGGTTAATTTGATAGGTTCAAATATAAATTCCCTTACGAATGCGGGTTAGGCCTAAATGCGGGCCGATATAGTTTATTACGTTCTAGTTTATCTCGTAGGTAGTATGATTACAATAATTATTATTAAAACAGAGTCTTAGAACCAATCCCAAAACGCGAAGCAAATCGGATAACTATTTTAATATAAAAAAAGGGTGTAATATGGGGACTACCCCTAAAAAGGGGCGTATATTAATCATTGGAATGAGAGATTTGTTACCATATACTACTACAAAACACCAAATTACAGAGATTTCGGTTGAATAACGCGCTCAAGAACCCCATATATATATATATATATATACATAACCTTTTTTTTTTTTTTTTTTTTGAAATTTTTATATCTGCCGTTTGATTCATATGGGTACCCGCGATCAGTAAGATTTGTTAAATTCCGAATAAAATAAAATCCTCTTCGTAAAAAACCATCTGCAAGAACGGCGGGAACTGGCTTGCCATATATTTTTGGCAAAAAAAAAAAAAAAGAAAGAGAGGTGTACCCAATTTATCCCAAAAATGGTTGACCTGGGTCATCTATGGTTCTCGATGGATCTCATTGAAATAATTATAGATCTATCTATTTTTTAGGAAGCATACCGAAATCGATTGCGCGTTAAAGACTTTTGGACTTTTTGGAGATAATTCGCGTTTTACGAGTTTTTATGTACTTCAATGCCGTCAAATGAAATTTCGCAAAATATACATAATCTCCTATATTTTTACTATTTTTCTCATATTTCGCGAAAATGTGCAACTTTTTTTTATTATAATATTAATGGGGTAATTTTAAAATTAAAATCTCTATAACTTTTGCGCGCATCAACCAAAAATATACATATGGACACATACATAAACTATACACAGATATAAACTTATAATCACGATGAAACAAGGCAACCGTTCTGAGGTTGAAGTTAGAATTGAAATATAAAATTATGATTATATATTTATTAAAATCAACATAATAAGGATTTTAGAACATGCTCATATTGCATCTTCTTATTGCGTCATCGTGTACCATGCAATACATACAATGACATTATTTTTTTATTCTTTATTTATTGTTAGCATTATAGTCTATCGCAACATTTATGTCAAATTTTTAGCATAGAATTGTTTTTATTTTTGGTTGTTTAGAACCCGACAATAATTTGTTTTCTGTTCAAATTCCATTTTTATATGTACGTAATTTGGCCGACATTCGTATATTGTATAATTTGCACATACCGTAGAAATGCACATACGGTAGAAACCAAATCATTCTTTAACTGTTCCAATTTTTTCACAACGGTCACGGCCAAACTTTCTACAGCGAAACTTAATCGCAAAAACTGCCGGTCGTAGGCCAAAAAAGTTGTTTTCAAAGCATATGAAGAAATATTTCTAATCATCACGTGAATTGAAATGTTTATCATCTGTGAGACGGCAAAACACAACGCGACAAAAAATTTAACATAAACGTGAAACAGCAGAATTCATATTGTTAACATTTTTGTGGGCCCAATCTGCAAAAACAAAGATAATCATGTCTGTTGTAGAATCACGCACTAAAAGAATGGACGGCAGGTAATACAAACAAATTTTATAGAAAAGAACCCGTAAGTTCACATGTCGCCAATCACGTTTTAAAGAGTTCTACAAAAACAGCTAGACGAAGAAATTGCTGGAAGAGCAACAACAAAAACAAACTGTGTAATCAGTTAATTGGGAGAATATTGTTGTTATTATTTGTTGCCAAGAAGAACGAACATAAGTATACTAAAAATAACAAAAAATATAATACATCTAATTTTGATAGATAGGCTCCCAAAATAGAGATTTTGTTGGAAATATAATATGTTTTGATACGATCAAAAATGTTCCGCACCCAAAAATAGTTTGAGATCCTAGTTATCGATCACTTACTCACAGACAAAAAGTTAATTTAGTTTTATCTAGAGGCATTGAAAAATCGATAAGCTTACAACATTTTTACTAGTTTTCTTTTCCCAATTTTCTTGAATTTATTTACACAATGTACGGTCAAAAGTATGCATATACGTAATGAAATATTGAAAGGATTCCAATTTCTCAGACGCCCATATAATTACGAGAGAAGGAGTTATATTATGTTTTGGAAACCAAATTTAAATAGTACGAATAAAAATATAATTTGTTACAATACACTATTATTCAGAATACTTACTTGGGGATTACTGTGAATATCGACGTCCAACGGCGAGGCAAACTGGCAAACCGGTGTCTTGCGTTTAAGAATAACTGAAAAGAATATGACACCATTAATAAAAAAAACCCAAAAACTTTTTACACTAAACACCTTTTAATTGAATTAAATGAGCCTTTTTCTTTCCGGTTCGTACTGCTTTTAAACAATAAGTGAAATTTTGTAAGTTGTTACAAAATGGTAGAAATAGTAGAAAAATTTAAACTGAATGGAACCTTTTTAAATTATAAACTTAATATTAAGATATTCCTATGGTACAAAAACATATATTTTCAAATCGAATAACATTTTTAATAATTAAAGTTTTATAATATGTATTACTAGCAAAGTGCCCGCTACTTCGTATGCGGAAAGGGAATACAAAAAATATTTCATATGGTATAGTAAATACTGTAAATTTGTAGTACTATAGTTTGCGATGCTTATGTGTATGAAGAGTACTAACTTCATACACATAAGCACTATTTTCCTAAATCTCTCTTACTTCCATTAAACAGATTAAAACCAGTAAGGAAAGTGGTAAAGTACCCCATGCAAAATTTCGTGCAAGTCGAAAGATATAGGGACTTTGGTACGCCATTTACATTAAATCGGACGAAGTTATATATGGGAGCTATATCTAAATCGGAACCGTTTTTCACTATGTTTAACACACATCGTTCTAGACGTAATCAGCCCGCTGTGCCTAATTTCGTGTAAATCGAAGGATATATAGGGAGTTTGGTGCACTATTTACCTAAAATCGGACTAAAATATATATGGGAACTATATCAAATTTGAACAGATTTTTCCCAATTTCAATAGGGTTCGTCCTTGGGCCAAATATGTGACGTATGTCAAATTTCATCCAATTCGGATCATAAATGCGACCTGTACTTTGTTTACAATTTAACATGGACAGACAGAAGAACAGACAGACGGACATGCATAAATCGACATAGAATGTGATTCTATGCATATAATGTGATTCCGTTGCCGAAATCGAAATTTAGTGAATTTGCAATTCTATTTACTATTCGTACAAATCAATTCGTACTCATAAGTACGAATTTCCAAATATACCTCAATCCTTATTTCAAATAGTAATCGTAAGTAAGAATTCCAGCTCAGTCTGTTCATCAAAAACCAAATTGTACCAGATTTGGTACCATTCTGTACTTTTCGTACCCATATTCCAAACTTTATCAAATCTACACTCCCACAGTAACCTAAGTTGCAACTTTCGGGATTCGAATTCTACCCGTTCACCAATGTCCAATTTGTACCAAATTTTGTGCTTTTCGTACCCAAATTGTACCATACCTAGTGCCGTTTAGTACTTTTCGTACACACAAATACGAATTTTCACAGATGTCTCTATAGCTCAATCTGCAACAGTAATCAGAATTCCAAATTTCAGGTTTTAAGCTCATCCGTTTAAGCAAAATCCAAATTGTACTATATTTAGTACGATTTAGTACTTTTCGTACCAATAAGTGCGAATTTCCAAAACTACCTCAATTCTACACTGCAACTGTCATTTTAATTCCCAATTTCAAGACTCCAGCTCTATATGTGAACTGAAATCCAACCTGCACCAAATTTAGTACCATTAAGTACTTTTCGTACACAAAGGTATGATTTTTTAAAGCTACCTCAACCTTGTATTCCAACTATTCCTAATTCCGATTTTCAGGATTCCATCTATATACACTCAACGAAATGCAAATAGTACCAAATTTAGTACCATTTAGTACTTTTTAAAAAACATAAGTACGAAAATCTTAAACCATTTCTATACATCAACACCACTTCCCAACCTGTATTCTATATAAAATTTCAAGATTTTAGCTATATATATATATATGTAGAATTAGAACTAAATTTGGTACTTTTAGTACACTTATAGGTCGAATTTCCAAAAACCCTTTTTAACATCTTTTTAACTTTCCATCAGTGACCCACATTCCAAATTCAGAACTCTAGCTCTTCCCGTTCGCCTAATACAAAGGGTACCATATTTGGTACATTTTAGTACTTTTCGTACCCTTCTAGTACGAATCTCCAAAAACCCAGCCTTATCTCACGCCTACACACCAACAACAACAGCTTCTAGCTTTAGCCGTTCCGTCTGGGCGATGATCTGTCAGTCAATCACTCACTCACTTAACACTAAGCTCTTTTATATATATAGATAATCTAACAATTACGATGAGGAATAGGCCGGTATATGGACTATATCGTACATGATTTATGTTTGGGAGAAATTTTAGGTCTTGTAGAAAGATTGTCGTGTATAGAAACAGCATGAATTGAGTGGATAATCGCTTACAGAGCAGCACTTATTTAAAAACTCCATATCACTTAAAGACTAGATTACAGAGACTTATATAAATTGGAAACATATATGGAATAAAATGTTGAGTCTATATCTTTACTTTTTTAACATTTTATACACAGTTTCCGCTTATTAGCGTTTTTATTATTATTATAAACATGCCTCTGTTATCGCAATTTTGCTGCCGACATTATGTTATGCAAAAATTAAAAAAATTGAAGGGAACACGTAAATATATATATATATTTTTTCATTTTTTAATTTCGTTTTTATAAAAATATAGGTATATTCATGTTAGCAAATGAAATCTGATGAACCATTTAAAGAAAACCAAAATAAACAAAATCCTGTAAAATCTATTTAAATTGGCAAAAATTCGCGCTGTAAACCTAACATTGGGAAAGTCAGCCATTGTATAAAAAATAAAGGTGGGAATGGACCAGAAATTGATAGAACGACTAGACATCAACAATTATTTGTAAAAATTTACACAAATATGAAATAAAAACCCAATAATAAAAATGTACTTAAATGAAACCTCAGTCGAAGCAAAATGATCATGGATAGAGGCCTCAGATTTAATGCAACTATACTAAATAGGATATGAACAAAATTTGACATCGCTACATCCTTGCATTCGGGAGATACAGTATGCCCTTCCATGAAAAATAAAAGTTCAATATCAAGAAAATCAAATGCTAAATCGACGGAAAGATCATTTTAACTTATTCTCTATATTATTATTATGATGGCAGAATTCGTACAATTCGAATTCGAAGCGATATAAATAATTTGGACTGTACAAAGTTTTTGCCCTCTTCTCTATATTGAAGAGTTCATAACTTTACCAAAAGTTTGAATTTTTAAATTTTTTCTTTTAATATGTGTCGTCCATAATCAGGTCTTGATGCAGAAATCAAAAGCTTTTTTGCTAAAAAAAATAAACAGGAACGTCTATAACTTTCGAAATGATCTAAATATATTTCAAAATATTTTGCCAGTGAAGTACCTTAAACGTTTGGGGAATTAAAAATGTTCTTATTAAAATAAATCTGCTGATATTTTTAAAATACGACATATCAAATAAAATTAAGATATGATGATAGACGAAAAATCGTACAAACATACAATTGTGATAAGACGGCTGGCAGGCTATGTGTTGGTTCCATACAATTTATAGAATGTGCAAAGAATTAAATTTTCCATTGTGATAGTGTTATCATAATACATTTTCCCTTTTGCCAAAAAAATATGTAAACATAACATTTAAATCTCACTGCACGCAGCTACCCAGCCGGTGGGGCAAACAAAAAATTCGCTAAACACGATCACCGCCGACAAAGAGGAATACACACACGAATATACACGGTTTTCGCTTTCTTTTTACTAGACCTTTTTACTTGTTCTGTTTTTATAAAGACTTTCTCAACAAACAACAACCGACTACGAAAAACATAACACAAAAAAACATTAACGAACACCTCGGTGAATGCGCACAACAGCGTATCTAATAAAAATACGTCTCAATAATTGAGAAATGTAACAGTAATACTAACTGAGACCGCAATGCCAGCAACCGTTTAAGTAATTTCAAATATCTTCGGCCAGTATAAAAATGCTCCATATCTTCAGTTTATCGACAACGCGTACTTCTGTCGCCCTTTTCGGGTAAAGTGGTCGGCCCCAAGCAGACAGGCGTGATCCCTGCATTTAACACTCTCAAACATTATCTGTATTTTACTATCTGCAGCTCTTATAAAAAGTGATGATACTGTTTTTGCAGGTTCGAACAGACAAAAGCTGTTCCATGCCAAACGTGATAAACTGTTGCCGAGTTAATGCTCCGATAGACAACGAATGTGCACGGAAATTTCTACTGATATTAGCGGGTAAATTCATGGTCATTTAACCTACCTTTAGACATAATTAAGTGGCTCAGACGTCATGACAGTAGTGAATCAACATCTACTGGTTAATTTCATGATTTTATTTGTGTCATTAGAAAACGCAGAGCAGGCACTTATTAACCGCCGTACGAGGGAAATTAGTTATATTAATACGAAATAGATTTTGAACAAAAATTAATAAAAATCCAACCAAATGAACGACAGCTTACTACAAATTGTATTATAGCGGCAAATGTGCAAAATGTGTAGATTTAGAGTTTTACTTCCCCTAGTAACCTTACATTTTGATGTCAAACGTAATTATCTACTGATGCAAAACAAAAAGTTGTTTCGTATTATTAAAAGGGAATTTGCCAGAAATATCAAGAACTTAGATATTTATACCCTACAAAGCTATGTTGTGAGGGTATTATATGTTTGTGGTGCTCCAAATGTTTGTAACGCCACGAAATATTGCGTTACAATCGATCACCTGTCGATTATTATTTGTAATAAAATAAAAAGTGCACATAGGTTTCGATCAGGCCAAAGGCGACTCTTATCGGGTAATGTTAAGGAGATGAATGGACTGTTTTTCTGTCATATTCTCTTTGCTCGGGCGGAATCTGCTCAACAAAACCGTATGGCTACTTTGATGAAGATCGATCAATATTTAAGGGATCAATTCGACCAAGACTTTTGTATGAAAAATTACCAAACTTGCATTTTTTTTTTTTGTTCCGGAAAGACATAGACATGGAAACCTTAAAGACTCGAGCAAAATGCATTTTGACAAAATAGTTTATGAAAAAAAAGAATAAAAAACCAAACA